ACCTAGTGATGGGGACATAAGAAGGATCAGCATGTATTGAGAAAGGTCAGTCTGCTCTCTCTATTGATCAACCATTGAGAACTTCCTTCACTGCTTTATTTCCTTCCACCCTACAATGTCCATTTTCTAATGCTATATCCCAGGTACCATTTAGTGTATCGATAATATATACTAGGCACCTTTCCACTCACATGGCTGACATTACAAGGAAAGTGTTCCAGGTCTATCTCATGACCCCTCTACCCTGCTTCTCACCTTGTAAGCAGCAATAGCATCTTTCTGCGTATTTTTCAGAGACTGAAGTTCCTTCATTGTTGCCTCCAGTTGACCCTGGTGGATGGTGAGCTCCTCCTGAGAATACCACATAGAATTAAGCCACACTAACTTGGGAGATGAAAGGCCATAGGGACATCTGTTCTAAAGCCCCATAGTGTCAGAAGAAGAAGAATAAAAACAAGTGAGTTCTTGCTGCAAAAGTCTTTCCTTTACCCTGAACCACAATCCCTGTCTCTTCTAAGAATTGTGAAGAAAATAACAAGCAGCAGGAAAAAAAATAGTTTTAAGCTCTTATTAGCTTACTGTAGGGGTTTGAAGAAGGTAATAGAACTACATCTTCTACTCTAGTTATACTGTTCTCACTATCTCTGCTTTTATTTGCATTGATATCACTTAGAACAATCATTTCCCATTTCTGCCCATTCAAATGCAAATGATTTCCCAGTTCAAGCTTTCCTTCCCCACACATCCCCTATTTCACTTTTCTCTAATCTTTTCTGAAATTCTAAATATTTATGAATAATACAAATGTGATGAAATTTAGCTCTCAATAGTAGACTATCTTGTTTCTGTTGTTTTATTCATTTTGAACTTGCCTAAATTCAATACTTTTATAACAAGAGCAGTATCTTGTAATCCATATTCTACACAATGTCTAGTAGAGTGCTGTCATTGCAGGGTGTAAGTAAATATTTGATTTTGGGGGAGAGTAGGCCTAGAGCTCCTCCACTGCTCCTTTCCTATCATCAGCAACTCTAGAGAAAGAGCGTTGCAAGATACGTTATGTTTTCTAAGCTTACTAATAATCATCTGAATAAAGGGGTGGGGTTGAAAGAAGAAACCCTACGAAAGATTTTTCCCAGCTCTCCTAAGGCCCAGGGCTCACCCACCATGAAGAAACGGACAGCATCAGAGATCTGCAGGAAATCTTTAGACTGCCCCACAGACAACCGAGCATCTTTGCATTGAAAGCAGATCAGTTTTCGATCTGGCTTACTGAATAGTTTCAGGTTCTCTCCATGCTCTGGGCACTGTGGATGGCCCTTGAGTAAGGGTAGCTTCTTAATCTTCTCTACTAGTTTCTCCAGTACAAGGTTGAATGTACAGTTGCTATATTGACATAGCATCTTACACTCAGGACAGAATGTTTCCTTTGCTTGCTGCTTCCAAAAGTTTTGGATACAAGCCTGGCAGAAGTTGTGGCCACAGCTTAGCATCAGTGGATCATGGAACCAATCATTACACAGTGGGCAGTGTAGCTCCTTAGTAATATCTTGTATCTGCACTTTAGAGGGTATCTGAGTGATCAGATCATGCACTTCACCATAGTTGCCTGGGTCGATGTTGGAGGAGGGTCTGGAAGATACCTTTGGAAAAAAACAGCTAAAATGAGTTTATCTTTCTTGCTGCGCATTTCAGCACTCCAAGATAGTGGGCTCCATTCCTTTTTTTTAAATTTTTTATTTATTTATTTTTTAATTTTTGAGAGACAGAGAGCGTGAGTGGGGGAGGGGCAGAGAGAGAGGGAGACACAGAATCTGAAACAGGCTCCAGACTTTGAGCTGTCAGCACAGAGCCCAATGCAGGGATGGAACCCACCAGCCAAACTGTGAGATCATGACTGGAGCCTAAGTCAAACGCTTAACCAGCTCAGCCACCCAGATGCCTCTATTGGGCTCTATTCCAAAAGGAGCTGATACTGTGCTGCCAGAGTAAATACACCAGTCTTCTCTTTGAAAGTGATCTGATAAATTCATTGTTTTCAAACATTATCATTTATTCCTACTCCCAATTCTATTTAAAATATAATAGAGAACTAAGGCAGAAAAATCAAAAGTGTTCAAGGATGAACAATATTTTGAAGAATGTTTTTTTTTTGTTTTTGTTTTTGTTTTTTTACAAATAGTTTATTGTCAAATTAGTTTCCACATAACACTCAGTGCTCATCCCCACAAGTGCCCTCCTCCATGCCCATCCCCCCCTCCCACCCACATCCATCAGTCCTCAGTTTTTGTCAGCATTCAAGAGTCTCTCATGGTTTGCCTCTCTCCCTTTCCCCCACCATTTCCGCCCTTCTTCTCCCCCTTGGTCCTCCGTCAAGTTCCTCCTAATCCTCCTATACGTGCAAACATATGATATTTGTCCTTCTCTGCCTGACTTATTTCGCTCAGCATAACACCCTCAAGGTCCATCCATGTTGCTACACATGGCCAGATTTCATTGTTTCTCATTCCCATGTAGTATTCCATGGTATAGATAAACCACATCTTCTTGATCCATTCGTCCATTGATGGACACTTAGGCTTGAAGAATGTTTTGAGTTCATTCCCCTCCACCCACTTTCCCCTTATGTCAGTTAAAAGTTTTACTTTCAATTTCCATTCTACTAGTTATTTCCTTTTTGTTTTGTTTCGTACAAGTCATGTATAAAGAATTGGAATATCAGTCAAATTCCTCAGTGACATAATATCATCAACCATAATATCATCCAGCCCTTTCCCCCTCCTTTTTAAAGAACACATTACAGAAATAACATATATACAGAAAAATGAAGAGTCATGCATACAACTCAATGACTTTTCACAAAATGAGCACATCTGTGTAATCATCGTCTTGATCAGAAAACAGAAAACTACCACCATTCCAGAAGTCCCCCAGATGTCTGCTTCAAGTACTATCCCTCATCAAGGTTGACCCCATCTTGACTTCTAACATTAGTTTTGCCTGTTTTTGAATTTTATATAAATACAGCTATGTACTATGCACTGTTTTGTTGTTGACTTCTTTTGCCAAGCTTACATTTGTGAGATTTATGTATATTACTCTGTAATTGTAGTCCATACATCTTTCATGGCTGTGTAGTATTGCATTGTATGAATATACCGTAATTTATTTCTCCATTCCACTGTTGATAGACCTTTGGGTAGTTACCAGTTTGAGATTATTATAAACAGTTTTGCTGAGAATATTCCTGCTCATATGTATATATACATATATATATTTTTTTCTTGTTATATACCTAAAAGTGGGAGTGGGCCATAGGATTGGCATATATTCACCTTAGTAGATACTGCCACATTGTTTTCTAAGTGGCAGAATCAATTTACACTGCCACCAGTGCTGTCCTATATCCTTGTGAAGACTTAGTATATTCACTTTAGCCATTCTGGTGAGTATGCATGTGTATCACACTGTGGCTTTAATCTATATTTGCCTGATGACTATGGATATTGGGCCCCTTTTCATATGTTAATTGTCCACTTTCATTTCCCCTTTTGGTGAGGTGCATATTTAGTGTCTTTTTATTTATTCATAAGACTTCATTATTAGTGTATAGAAACACCACAGATTTCTGTATATAATTTTGTATCCTGCAATTTTACTGAATTCATTTATTCTCATAGTTTTTGGTGGGGTCTTTAGGGTTTTCTATGCATAGTATTATGTCATCTGCAAATAGACAGTTTTAGTTCTTCCTTATCAAATTGGATGCATTTTCTTTCTTTTTCTTCTCTGATTGCTCTGGCTAGGACTTCTAGTACTATGTTGAATAAAAGTGGTGAGAGTGGGCATCCTTGTCTTCTTGTTCCTGATCTTAGAGCAAAGCTTTCAGCTTTTCACCAATACATATGATGTTAGCTGTGTGTTTGTCATATATGGCTTTTATTATGTTGAGTTATGTTCCCTCTATACTTGCTGAGAGTTTTCATGGGAAATGAACGTTGAATTGTCAAATACTTTTTCTGTACTCAAGATGATCATATGATTTTTATCCTTCACTTTGTTAATGTGAAGTATCACATTGATTGGTGGATATTCTTGCATCCCTAAAATAAAACCCACTTGATCTTGGTGAATGATCCTATTAATATATTATTGAATTTGGTTTGCTACCATTTTGTTGGGAATTTTTGCATTTATGTTCATCAGGGATATTGGCTTGTAATTTTCTTTTTACATAACATCTTGACTTGGTTTGGGTATGAGAGTAATGTTGGCCTCATACAATGAATTTGGAAGCATTTCTTCCTTTTCAATTTTTTGAAATAGTTTGAGGATAATAGGTATTAACTCTTCTTTAAATGTTTGGTAGCATTTATTTATGAAGCTATCTAGTTCTGGATATTTGTTTCTTAGGAGTTTTCTGGTTTGTTTTTATTCAATTTCAGTACTAGTAATAAGTCCAGTCAGATTTTCTACTTCCCGATTCAGTCTTAGAAGATTGTATGTTTCTAGGAATTTATCTTTCTCTTCTAGGTTGTTCAATTTGTTGGCGTATAATTTTTTTAGTAGTCTCATAATCCTTTCTGTTTCTGTGATATTGGTTGTTACTTCTTCTTCACTTCTGATTTTATTTATTTGAGTTTTGTCTTTTCTTGATGAGCTTAGCTAAAGGTTTATCAATTTTGTTTATCTTCAAAGCTTTTAATTTGATGGATCTTTTCTGTTGTTATTTTTAGTTTCTATTTCACTCATTTCCACTCTTATCTTTATTATTTCCTTCCTTCTACCTCTTTGGGCTTTGTTTATTGTTCTTTTCTAGTTCCTTTAGGTGTAAGGTTAGATTGTTTAATTGAGATTTTTCTTATTTCTTGAGGGGGAAGTGTGTCACTATAAATATCCCTCTTAGAACTGCTTTTGCGGAAACTGAGAAGGATCCCATACATACCTCGGAGGTTCGTTCCAGCCAGCGCTGGAGCACCTGCAGCCACAGGACTCTTTAAATCATGGAAAAACAAAATAGACAAATGAATGCTCCTTACCCAGGAACAAATTTACCACCTGAATATCTCCCTCAATATCCTTCAGCAGCACTCCAAGGACCTCCAGGATATACTGCCTACCCTGTCCCCCAGGTTGGCTATCCTGGCCCCCAGGTTGGCTACCCTGGCCCCCAGGCTGGCTATCCTGGCCCCCAGGCTGGCTATACTTGCCCCCAGGCTGGCTACTCAATTCCCCCAGCTGGTTATTCAGATGCTTGCCCAGCAGACTTTCCTGTCCAACACCAGCCAGTATATAATCAGCCAGGTGGACATGCAGGGGTACCGTGGATGCCAGCACCACCACCTCCATCAGGCTGTCCCCCTGGATTGGAATATTTAAGTCAGATCAGATACTGGTTCATCAGCAAGTTGAGCTTCTGGAAGTTTTAACAGATTTTGAAACTAATAACAAATATGAAATTAAGAACAGCTTTGGACAGAGGATTTACTTTGCAGCAGAGGACACGGATTGCTGTACCTGATATTGCTGTGGGGCTTCTAGGCCTTTTGCTATGAGGATTGTTGATAATATGGGCCAAGAAGTTATAACTCTGGAGAGACCACTAAGGTGTGGCCACTGTTGTTGCCCTTGCTGCCTTCAGGAGATAGAAGTCCATGCCCCTCCCGGTGTACCTGTAGGTTATGTTACTCAGACCTGGCACCCATGTCTTCCAAAGTTTACAATTCAAAATGAGAGGAGAGAGGATGTACTAAAAATTACTGGTCTGTGTGTTGTGTGCAGCTGTTGTGCAGATGTTGATTTTGAGATTAAATCTCTTGATGAAGAAACGATAGTTGGCAAGATTTCCAAGCAGTGGACTGGTTTTGTTAGAGAGGTGTTTACTGATGCTGATAACTTTGGTATCCAGTTCCCTGTAGACCTTGATGTGAAAATGAAAGCTGTAATGCTTGGTGCCTCTTTCCTCATTGACTTCATGTTTTTTGAAAGGAGTGGAAACAAAGAATAAAACGGAGTGTGATGGAGGATTAATGAAAGCCTCCTCAGAAAGCATGAAGTCCATGTACTTAGTGGGACTATGTCAAGGAAAAGCTAATTGTTTTTCTTCTCTTAACTGAAATGACTTATAGTTACTGTGATGCCTGAAGCTCCTGATATATGTGATGACATTTCAAATTAGAGTTTATTTTCTATATCACTTACCTATAAATGTTTTTATGCATTTTGTTTTGTTTTATACATTTTCTTTTTCATTGTGTATTTTAGAGAAAGGACACAGAATTTTTACATTAATATGAAACTTCCTGTGCTAAATTGTTCTGAACTATAATGTTTTATTTTCAACTTTTACACCGAATTACCTAAAGCCTTATTAAAGTAGTAAAGTATGCATTTTATTATAGTTCCAATTTATTTCACATGCAACAATTAATGTTATTTTGGAAATACTGTATATTCAAATACATTGAAAATGAATATAATTGGTTTCCTTTACAATTATGTTAAAAAATACTTAATATTCATACTACCAAAGAAAAACAAAATGTGTATTTGTGCGGCAAATCACAGCATATTTAACTTCTTTTGTAAGCTAATCTGCTACCATAAAATGATTTTTATTATTGACAAGAAAATAAATCACTGATTTTTTTTATGATTTTCGATGAAAAAGACCTGTTCTAAAGAGGACACATTTAAAAATTCACTCTAGAACTGGAGCACTATTATAATTTTTGAAGTAATTATTTACACATGGAATGTTTAGCTCCTGTATACATTCTGTCATTCATAGAGCATGATAATTATGAGATCACTCAGGTGTTAAATATAGCATATATATTCCATCTGAGTAGAAACTTAAGTAATGGCCTGTTATTTACCTGAACATCAAACAACTGAATTAAAAATTATTGATACATAAAAAAAAAAAAAACTGCTTTTGCTACATCCCAAAGGTTTTGGAACGTTGGGTTTACATTTTCATTTGTGTCAAGGTATTTTTTAATTTAGCTTTGATTTCTTTGTTGACCCATTGGTTGTTTAATGGCAGGTTGTTTAACCTCCAAGTCTTTTTGTTCTTTCCAGTTTTTCTTATAACTGATTTCCAGTTTCATACTGTTATAGTAAAAAAAAAAACAAAAAACAAAAAAACAAACAAAAAACACTTGATATGATTTCACTCTTCTTAAATTTATTGAGATTTGTTTTGTACCCTAATATGTGATCTGTCTTGGAGACTGCTCCATGTGCACTTGAAAACAATGTGTATTCTACTGTTTTGGGATGTAATATTCTGTACATACCTGTTAAGTCCATCTGGTCTAATATGTTGTTCCAGCCATTGTTTTCTTACTGCTTTTCTGTCTGGATGATCTATGTATTGATGTGAGTGGGATGTTTAAGTCCCCTACTGATATTGTATTACTGTCAGTTTTTCCCATTATGTCTTTTAATTTTTGCTTTATATATTCAGGTGCTCCCAAATATATATATTGGAGGAATAGATATTTATAATCATTATATATTCTTATTGGAATGATCACTTTATCTTTAAAATCTTTTTTGTCTCTTGTTACAGTTTTGTTTTAACGTCTATTTTGTCTGACATATGTATTGTATTGCTACCCCAGCTTTTTTCCTTCATTTCCTTTTGCATGGAATATATTTTTCTATTCCTTCATTTTCAGTCTGTATGTATCTTTAGGTCTAAAGTGAATATCTTATAGGCAGCATATAGTTGAGTCCTGTTCTTTATCCATTGAATCACTCTTTATCTTCTGATTGCAGCATTTAGCCCATTTACATTTAAAGTAATTATTGATAGATATATATTTATTGCCATTTTATTAGTTGTTTTCTGATGTTGTTCTAGGTCTTCTCTGTTCCTTTCTTCTGTTGCTGTCTTCCCTTATGAATTGATGACTGGTGTGTGTATGTGTGTGTGTGTGTGTCCATATCCAAAATAGGTTTTTGGTTTGTAATTACCATAAGTTTCATGTGTAATACCCTATGTACACAGCAATCTATTTTAAGTTGATGGTAACTTAAATTTGAACACATTCTAAAAGCACTCCATTTTTACTCCACTCCCTCCATGTTTTATGTGTTTGATGTCATACTTGACATCTTTTTATTTTCTGTATCCCTTAACTAAGTATTGTAGATATAGTTGATTTTACATTTTTTCTTTTAATCTTCATACTAGCTTTATCAGTGATTGATCTACTACCTTTATTGTATGTTTTCTTTCACCAGTGAAATTTTTTCTTTCATATTTTTCTTACTTTCAGTTATGGCCTATTCTTTTCTGCTTAAAGAAGTCCCTTTAGTATTTTTTATAAGGCCTGTTTCTTCGTAGGATGAACTCCTTTAACTTTTGTCCAGAAAACCTTTTATTTCTCCTTCAAATCTGAATGATAACCTTGCTGGGATACAGTGTTATGGTTTTAGGGTGGTTTTTTTTTTCCTTTCAGCACTCTGAATATATCATGACACTCCCTTCTTTTTTTTTTTTTTTTTTTTTAATATTTTTATTTATTTCTAGGAGACAGAGAGAGACAGCGTGAGCAGGGTAGGGTCAGAGAGAGAGGGGGATACAGAATCTGAAGCAGGCTCCAGGCTCTGAGCTGGCAGTCAGCACAGATCCCGACGCGGGGCTCGAACCCATGAACCGCGAGATCATGACCTAAGTGAAAGTCGGACGCTCAACCGACTAAGCCACCCAGGCGCCCCCATGACACTCCCTTCTGACCTGCAAAGTTTCTGTGAAAAATCAGCTATTAATCTTATGGGTGCTTCTTTGTTTACATAACTAGCTGCTTTTCTCTTGCTACTTTTAAGATTATCTCTTTTGCTTTAATTTTTGACATTTTAATGATTATGTATCTATCTGTAGACCTCTTTGGGTTCATCTTATTTGGTGCTCTGTGATTCCCAGACCTGGATGTTTGTTTCCTTTCCCAGTTTAGGGAAGTTTTCAGCAATTGTTTCTTTAAGTAAGTCATCTGCCCCTTTCTCTCTCTTCTTCCTGTTCTGGAACTCCTAGAATGTGTTAGTACCCGTGATGTTGTTCCAGAGGTCTCTTAACCTATCCTAAGTTTTTAAAAATGTTTTTTCTTTGGGGCACCTGTGTGGCTCAGTTAGTTAAGCATCCAAGTTTAACTCAGGTCTCACGGTTTGTGGGTTCAAGCCCCACATCAGGCTCTGTGCTGACAGCTCAGAGCCTGGAGCCTGCTTTGGATTCTGTGTGTATGTGTGTCTCTCTCTCTTGCCCTCACCTGCTCATGCTCTGTCCCTCTGTCTCTCTCAAAAGTGAATAAACATTTAAAAAAATTTTTTTAATGTTTTTTTTTTCCTTCAGTCTCAGTGTTTTCCACTGATCACCTTTTCCTCCTGATCACTGATTTACTTTGTATCCTCTACTTTGCTGTCGCTTCTCTCTGGTGTATTTTTCATTTCAGTCATAATATTCTTTTTTTGTGAAGGGTTTTTTATTTGTTTAATACAACTGAAAAGAATGCATATACAAAGAATTGAGACATGTGAAATCATTGTTCAACACTAATGGATCTACAAGAATTAGGATTTGGGGAAGCTGTAGAAGATTACCTAAACATTTTTAAAAATTGGCAACTGCAACCAAAATAAACAGGAAAACACTTTATGAAGTGTTAACACATATGAAGAGGGCACCTGGGTGGCCCAGTCGGTTGGACATCTGACTTCGGCTCAGGTCATGATCTCACAGTCCATGAGTTCAAGCCCCGCATCTGGCTCTGCACTGACAGCTCAGAGCCTGGAGCCTGTTACAGATTCTATCTCCCTGTCTCTCTACCCCTCTCCACTCGCACTCTGTCTCTCTCTCTCAAGAATAAAATTTAAAAAACCAAACAAACATTAAAGAAGAACACTTATGAAGAGTCTTCTCTTCATAAGTCTTCATAAGACTCCATGATTTTTTTTTTTTATTAAACTAGAGGGCCTTAACTAGATACCCTAGGATTCCTCATATGCAAAAAGAAATAAGAAGATTCCCCTGACTGGTGCCCGTGTTGTTAAATGTTCTCCACACCCCAACCTCCACTTCCAGCTTCTTCATGAAGCAGGTCTCCATCCTCCCCACTTGAAAGAGCATGTGCATCATTCTATAGACATCTGTCTTCTAGCACCACCCTCACATTTCCTTGATTTACCAGGTATCTGTCAGTGTTCTAGGAACTCCGTATCATACGCTATTAAGCTGGACATCTATGCTAAGCATATAAGACAATGACTGGCAGGGAAAAAGTGGTTTTAATTACGTACTCAATCCATTTGGTGTATTTCAAAAGGTGCAATACTTTTCTTCATTTATCAGTGAAAGAAGTTAGAAATTAACTTCAAAAAAATCAGCAAATGGCAAACAAATTTTCTTGAAAGTCACAGTCACATATATAGAATGCATTCTAGAAAAGGGGCGTGGCAAGACAGGTTTCCATGCACTTTCATGACTCTCAGCAAGTACTGGACCTACTCAAGGGTGAAGAGAAAAGGCAACTCTCAGAAAGGAGTATGCTATTAAATGAGACATTTACTGTACTCCTTCCTAAAAGTGCCAGGTGGGGAACAAGTGTTATAAACTAGATCTAGGAAGTGGAGTGTGGAATCAATCCATCCTCCTCCCCTTAAGGGCTGTCCATTGGTTACTGAATTTTAAAAAACATGACTAAATTAAAACAAACCCTACATTTACTCCCCCCCAAAACAAAAACAAAAACAAAAAAACAAACCCTAAATGGCTCAGATTATTCTCCAGAGTGGATGGAGCCCCGGGAGCAGCTTCAGCAACCCCAATTAGTCTGGTACAGAGTCATCCCAAGCATGCCTTGCTTTCAAACAACAATAATAAATTTTTTTTGAAATGACAAAACAAAACTAGTACTAACTAGTACCAACCATCTTTCTGACAATACACAATTACTCAAGTTAAGTACTGAGAGTGGGAAGGGGACCACACCTATGGGCTTTATC